ACCTTGCAAAAATCTCACACATGAAAAAACTCACCCATACAGACCTAAATACAGACCTAAATACAGACCTAAAACAATTTGAATATATAGAAAACTAAAATAAATATGTTTTGAACCTCTATTCAGCTTCAGCACTTTTTTTCTAAATATGGCGATCCGAAAAAAGTGTCCGTTTATGCTTCAACCCAATTATGAGAAGCGGCATTGGCCTGAATCAGATATCATTCATAGCGAGATCATGTTTCTTTCCTCTCGTAAAGGCTGGCGTGTCTGATCTCATATTTTGATACCTAGTTATGGATCTTTTTTGGTAAAGGTACTTTGACCTGTGTGGGACTGGCTCACCTGGCAAGCCATAGAAGGCTGGGGGACTATTTAATCTTTGTTTATTTATATAAACCACGTTCATGTCCTGTACGCCCACGTCCGGCACGCCCATGTCCTGTACGACCATGTCCTGTACGCCCACGTCCGGCACGCCCATGTCCTGTACGCCCATGTCCTGTACGACCATGTCCTGTACGCCCACGTCCGGCACGCCCATGTCCTGTACGACCATGTCCTGTACGCCCACGTCCGGCACGCTCACGTCCGGCACGCCCATGTCCTTCCTGTACGCCCACGTCCTGTACGCCCACGTCCTGTACGCCCAAGTCCTAAACGGATTTCGCCAGACTTACCCCATCAGTGGTCTGCGGTTCGCTTGACCTTCCTCTTCATTAACATACATAACGGATAGATTAATTCCAGCATATTAACACAGCCATTCCAGATCACAGAAAATGTTTCTCTTAGATCTCTGACTCCAAGAAGTTAGGATACACCGTCGAGGCACTTCAGACGACAGAAAAAGAAACGCACTTTAAATCGAGAGGATAAAAACGTAATCACTTCTACTTGACGATGGGGATCTTAGGTTGGACTTAATCTGAAGCTGTTGGGCAAGAGTTGGGGGGTGTAGGGAGGTGGGGGGAAGGGTTTAGGGGGGAGGGTATGTGTGGTGGGGGGCAGGTGATGGTTGTGGAGTTCAGTACCTTGGTGGTTCCCGTCCTGTCAACACACACACGAGTTGTCAAGAGCTTGGCTGTTTTTGGGTGGGTGGGTGTGAGGGTGTAGTGTTGGTGTGGTGGTGTTAGTGGGTGTGGTAGTGTTGGTGGGTGTGGTAGTGTTGGTGGGTGTAGTGTTGGTGGTGTGGTAGTGTTGGTGTTGGTGGTGTGGTAGTGTTGGTATTGGTGGTGTGGTGGTGTTGGTGGGTGTGGTAGTGTTGGTGGGTGTAGTGTTGGTGGGTGTGGTAGTGTTGGTGGGTGTGGTAGTGTTGGTGGGTGTGGTGTTGGTGGGTGTGTTAGTGTTGGTGGGTGTGTTAGTGTTGGTGGGTGTGGTAGTGTTGGTGGGTGTGGTGTTGGTGGGTGTGGTAGTGTTGGTGGGTGTGGTAGTGTTGGTGGGTGTGGTGTTGGTGGGTGTGGTGGTGTTGGTGTGGTAGTGTTGGTGGGTGTGGTGTTGGTGGGTGTGGTAGTGTTGGTGGATGTAGTGTTGGTGGGTGTGTTGGTGTTGGTGGGTATATTTGTGTTGGTGGGTGTGGTGGTAGTAGTGTTGATGGGTGTGGTAGTGTTAGTGTTGGTGGAGTGTGGTGGTAGCAGTGTATGAAAGAGGTGAACAAGGTTTGTACTGAACGATATGAACAAAGAACAGATACAAAGTCTTACACCAATCAGTTATTCAATAAGGTCGTTTGCCTGAAGCAGTGAAGACCCTAAACTAGTTAAATATTCATTAGACAGCTTTCATTTCATTCATTTCATTCATTCATTCATTCATTATGCACTAGAATGTTCGAACATCATCGTTCGAACATTTCGTGTGCGTCGTGTGTAAACTTGTTTTTACTCCCAAAACAGGGGGTTTGGAGCCTGATTAACTCATCCTAATCAACAAAGACCTAATGCTCATTAATCCACTCACCAAACCCCCCCAACTGTTTAGGATTGAAAACCCCTTTACACACGACTCCCAACTGATAACGTCTGTATGTTTCTCGAGCAGTGCTTCGCTGACTTCAGTTCGAATCGCAACTCTGTAAAGGCTTCATCTAAACCCATCAAAATTAAATAATTATTTGCCATAAACAGAGGATTTTGTTTTGAGGCCCATAAACACATGGTTTAATTTGCCATAAACAGAGGGTTTTGTTTAAATTGCCATAAACAAAGGGTTTTGTTTAATTTCCCATAAACACAGGGTTTCGTTTGCCATAAACAGAGGATTTTGATGGCCGTGGCAACCAAAGACAGGTTGCCATATATAAAGAGTTTGGCGCTTAAGTTAACTCACATTTGTTGACCAGACCACACACTAGAAGTTGAAGGGACGACGACGTCCCTTCAACTCACATTCGACGTCCCTTAACTCACATTTCAATCCGACGTCCCTTAACTCACATATGTCCATTGTTTACAAGGACGAGCTGCGCTCCTATCGTTTCTCTAACGATAAATGAGACGAACTTGAGGTAGTTACGACCTGACAACGATATAATAAGATCAAGTTAACTAGCAGATTACATATGATGTAATCTTCTCTCTCCTCCAGTCGTCTGACACCATATTAAAGTAATTATCGATATTATAGGATTGTAAAGGATGCAAATATCCATCTAATTATTCGTCAGAATTAACTTTATTCATCTCAATTTATATGTGACAAATGTATATACAACAAATTGTTAGAGTATTTCAGTGAAATCTTGACGATTTGGTCATCACAGAACTGGTAATGTCAGGACTTGTCAATCATTTATTCAACTATTTACAAAACATCTACATTTTTATTTAATCATGGCGGCGGCACCACACTACTGGTAGTGTGGTGGAGAGGTATTGTTTGTGGTGGTGTGGTGGAGAGTCAGTTTGTGGTGCTGGTAGTGAAGAAATTGGAAAAAAAACGTCGAATATCACAACTCTCACTGTAAATCTCCGGTTGTAAATTCGTGTGGTTGTGAAACGATGCCTCGGGGGTTGTTAGTTGTGGTGATTACAACCACGAAGCAGCAGCAGCAGGCTTCATGGTTGTAACGGGCTTCATAACTGGTTCTCATAACTCATTCCTCTCTAGGAGTCGTAGCGTGGGGGCCGCACCTGTGAAGCTAATGAGCTAACCGTATTGGTGTTAATTGTCTAGCTCACCTTTGATCAGGTGAGTTGGACAGGTGTTGGGTCAATAATTGCTGCCTCTACAGTCGATCAGAAGACCATTGTCTTCTTCCTCTCCAAGCTGGCGAAGGCTCTAATCATTGTAACGTATATGTGTACATTGTAACGTATATGTGTACATTGTGGCGTACATGAGATGTGTACACAGTGATAACCTTCTTTTGAACTATATAAATAAATCCCCATTTATTCATCTAAACTCGAAAGATTTATTTTGAATTAATTGCATATATTTTTCTATGTATTTTTTTTTTAAAGTCTTCCCATTTTTATGTGTAAAAACAACCCGGAATATTTTTGTCTAACTTTGCCGTACTGTTTAATAACATATTTTGGGAGTCTCTTGTTTTTTGTAAATTTAAAAAAAAACTGGTGGAAAAAATGTCACCACTGTTTTGCACTACACTAATAATTCTATTTTTCTTGCTATCGTGTTGTTATTTCTATATCTTTATTCTTCGTGTCATTTATTTACTCTCTTAATAATAAATTGAGTAAACATTTTATACATTTCAGATATAATGTTGAACATACACACGTATATATAAATATAGAAATGATGCCCATTAAGTTGGCTATTTGTTATGTTATAGGAAAATAGTTGTATTATCCGCGTACGTTGAAAATAGATGTATTAGTTTTATTGATGGGAGTCATTGTAGGAGATCAGCGGGTGGGAGATTGATTGCAGCCAATATTGCATTTGGGCGAAAGAGGGAGAGAAGGTAAATGGCCTGGAATTGAGAGGATAAATGAGAGAGAGAGAGAGAGAGAGAGAGAGAGAGAGAGAGAGAGAGAGAGAGAGAGAGAGAGAGAGAGAGAGAGAGAAGAGAGGAAAACTATGTGTGTATGTGTGCACTTAGGAATAAAATGTGTATTAATATGTTCCTGATTACAAATGTCACTATTACACATAATAAAACACAGACAGTAAGCCCTAATAAAGCGGCTCAATATTATACGCCCATCTATACATCTGAAAATAAAGTTTAATACCAACGTTTCGATCCCTCCTGGACTTAATAATGACCCAAAACGGACCGAAACGTCGCCACTTCTTATATTTCCAGTTGTGTAGTTAAGTGCTCATAAAAATAATCAAAGGAACTTGAATGTATGGCAGCAACAAGCCAACGCACCATAGAAACAATTTTAAGATATATTGACTCGAGGACAAAGCTATATACATGTCTTCACTGGAATGTCAGAACTCTGTATTAGCTTCAAGATGTCGAGCAGAGAGAGAGACAGAGAGGCAGTTGATGCTGTATATATTGCAAAGAGACAAAGGCGCCCCCTCTCTAGCAAACACCATTCATCTCTGCTCACTTAATTCGGTTCCTCCCCCTCTCTCGCCTGCTTCCTTATTTATGTCAGTCTATCACACACACACACACACACACACACACACACACACACACACACACACACACACACACACACACACACACACACACACACACACACACAGTTCATTTGATTTTTTTTATGAGCACTTAACTACACAACTGAAAATATAAGAAGTGGCGACGTTTCGGCCAAGACCGTCAGTAATTTCAAAGCGTTATATGACAAAGAGTGCTGGGAAGACGGGACACCACGAGCGTAGCTCTCATCCTGTAACTACACTTAGGTAATTACACACACACACACACACACACACACACACACACACACACACACACACACACACACACACACACACACACACACACACACAGAGAAAATGCTGTCTAATCATACTAACATAGAGGTTTACCACCTGACGACGACCTAGCCTTTTCTCCAGAAGGGAAGATGAGGCAGTGCATCTGGGTGTTCCTGGTGGGGGTGGTGGTGCCCTTGGTGACCTCCCTGGTGACCTACACCTTCGTTTCCATGGGTAGTGAAGCACTGGCAGTCGACGAGATTGGTGCCCTAATCATCATGGTCACCATTGTCAAGGTGAGTGATTGGCAGCGTTCAGATGATACGGGGTGAGGGATTGGCAGCGTTCAGATGGTAGGGGGGTGTGAGTGATTGGTATGGATCAGATGGTAGGGGGTGAGGGATTGGCAGGGGTCAGATGGTAGGGGGTGAGTGATTGGCAGCGTTCAGATGATACGGGGTGAGGGATTGGCAGCGTTCAGATGGTAAGGGGTGAGTGATTGGCAGCGGTCAGATGGTAAGGGGTGAGTGATTGGCAGCGTTCAGATGATAAGGGGTGAGTGATTAGCAGCGTTCAGATGGTAGGGGGTGAATGATTGGCAGCGTTCAGATGGTAGGGGGTGAATGATTGGCAGCGTTCAGATGATAGGGGGTGAGTGATTGACAACGTTCAGATAGCAGAGGGTGAATGATTGCCTGCGTTCAATTGGCTGAAGGTGTTCAGTGGTTTGGAGTGAGTGAATAAGCATTCTGTGATGCCTTAGTCTAGTGAAAAAGTGATTATACGACTGTTCACTCGAGTAAATGGACGGACTAACGATGGTCTGTGTCAAGCCAATTAGAGTTTTGAACTTTTACTTAAAAAAACAGACTCATTAGAGTCCAATTATGTCCTATTGAAGTTTGAATAATTCTTATATATCTCTATATTCCTTGGTATTAAAAATATTTTAAGAATATTGATTGTATCAGATAGCAGTCGTATTAGGGATCATTTTAGTGATGAATACCATCAAAAAAGGTGATGAGATAATGATGATTATGATATGAATGATGTCAGTGGTGATGATGCTGCATCTTCCAGCTGGTGCTGCTCTCTACACAAGGCATCTTCCCCATCGACATGAACGAGGTGCTTCATCAGATCATCCAGAGAGGCAAGAGGTCAACCAACGAAGATGGGACTTTCAACAACAGTTCTCTGTATCAGGTACGGTGAGAGAGAGAGAGAGAGAGAGAGAGAGAGAGAGAGAGAGAGAGAGAGAGAGAGAGAGAGAGAGAGAGAGAGAGAGAGAGAGAGAGAGAGAGAGAGAGAGAGAGAGAGAGAAAGAGAGAGAGGTGTTGAGTGGAGGTAAGAAGTTAGAAAGTCTGAAAAAAAAAAAACAGCGTCGCCTGAAATTTTTAACAACTTAAAAAAAACATATAAAAAATGCCAGTACTCGAAAGAAAATTGTCTTATTTCATTTATTTAAAATTCATACGATTAAAAAAAAGTTAATAATTTCATAAAACCACTTTTATGAACACCCCAAAAAATACTATATATCTTTTTTTTCATGGAACACGTGAATGTAAAAGTTCTGAGTCGAACGAAGAGAGCTTTTGTTTATTTTTGTTTATTTTTGTTTACCTCGATATAACATGTTGTTGCGACAGGTCCCCGCGGTAGACGAGATGCCTTGCATCAGGAGATTCCTGTGTGAAGTGGAGGTGGCCACCAGGACCAGCGATAACTACCTCCCGAAGGAACCCGAGGCCGTGAACGACCGGATACTGGAGGAGGAGGTAGCCCCAGAGGAGGTCGACCCTATCTCTGAGATGCAGGTGGAGGCGGTTCGAGCCCTCTACAGGTGAGTCTAACGCCTCACCTGTTTCTACCAGGTGTATACGAGTACTTGTTGAAATTAATATCCTCCGGGTGGAGGGTCGAGCGATGACCCCTGCAAGAATCTGGGTTATTGTTTCTGAGCTCTAATGATGCAAGTGTTTCTGGCAAGTGTGTTCCCTCATATCCCAGTTCCTTGTCCTCATATTCCAGGTCCTTGTCCTCATATCCCAGCTCCTGATCCCACATACCCCAGCTCCTTATCCCACATACCCCAGCTCCTTATCCCACATACCCCAGCTCCTTATCCCACATACCCCAGCTCCTTATCCCACATACCACAGCTCCTTATCCCACATACCCCAGCTCCTTATCCCACACATCCCTTCTAGCTGCCACATAGCCATACCGACTCAGCCCTCCAGTCTAACCTCACCTAAACTACAAGGGCAACATACCTTGCACTCTAGGCTGCTTGCAAGTTGCACCTTATCAACGTCATATCATCACAGGTGCCTCCTTTAGACCCTCTCTCCAGACACTTGTAATATTTGTTGACCAGACCACCTACTGCTTGGGTAACAGCTTCTCCCCCGTATCAACCTACCCTGGCTTTGCGCCCTGGTGAGGCCACTCCACACCAGGCTGACATCAGAGCGCAACTCCATAGTCTCCTGAGACTGATGGATGCCTACTAGACCACACACTAGAAGGTGAAGGGACGACGACGTTTCGGTCCGTCCTGGACCATTCTCAAGTCGATTGTAAGATTGTAATATTCCATTACAGACACAAAACCCCGTCTTATTAACCCTCCCCTGCGAGTCTCAAGGCATCATTGTCGGAGTATATTGTCCTTTAGTGGATATCCTGTCGGTAAATAGAAGCAATTATTTCCTTAATTTTATCATTTAGGTTATCATTTTGTCATTTAGGTTATCATTTTGTCATTTAGGTTATCATTTTGTCATTTAGGTTATCATTTTATCATTTAGGTTATCATTCTTCCTTCATATATCTCTGGGATTATGGGGGGACTGGTAGTGGTTATCTTGAGATGATTTCGGGGCTTTTTAGTGTCCCCGCGGCCCATTCGTCGACCAGGTCTCCACCCCCAGGAAGCAGCCCGTGACAGCTGACTAACACACAGGTACCTATTTTACTGCTAGGTAACAGGGGCATAGGGTGGAAGAAACTCTGCCCATTGTTTCTCGCCGGCGCCTGGGATCGAACCCAGGACCACAGGATCACAAGTCCAGCGTGCTGTCCGCTCGGCCGACCGGCTCCCGTGGTGGTGGTGTTTGGAATGGTGATTGTCATGGATGGAGAATAAACACTCTTAATGTTTCTTCAAGCTAGCCACACATGTATAAACATATTCCATATTTCAACTCCTATTTTCTTTCTCCCAACTTTCTCCTGCAGGCCATGACAATCTATCATCATCATCATCATCATCATTCTGCTTATATCATCATTCCGGTCCGTTATCATGCACCTTTTCTTCTTCCCCAGGGAGGAGGACCCGACGGGGGAACTGTCAGAGAGGGGGCGACGCGCCCTACAGGTGGTGGAGTCGATGACGGGGCCGGCCTGTGAGATGGCCTACAAGCTCTGTCCTGGACGGTCAGTAAAGGCACTCCGTTCGTGATAACTTTATTGAGATGTGAATAACTGGTCGAATCACTCGGTTCGTTATAACTTTATTGAGATGTGAATAACTGGTCGAATCACTCGGTTCGTTATAACTTTATTGAGATGTGAATAACTGGTCGAATCACTCGGTTCGTTATAACTTTATTGAGATGTGAATAACTGGTCGAATCACTCGGTTCGTTATAACTTTATTGAGATGTGAATAACTGGTCGAATCACTCGGTTCGTTAAAACTTTATTGAGATCTGAATAACTAGTCGAATCACTCGGTTCGTGATAACTTTATTGAGATGTGAATAACTAGTCGAATCCCTCAGTTCGTGATAACTTTATTGAGATGTGAATAACTGGTCAAATCACTCGGTTCGTGATAACTTTATTGAGATGTGAATAACTGGTCGAATCACTCGGTTCGTTATAACTTTATTGAGATGTGAATAACTAGTCGAATCACTCAGTTCGTTATAACTTTATTGAGATGTGAATAACTGGGGGTTTGGGCCGAGTAAAATAACTTTATGAAGGGCGTTGAGAACTGGATTATTTTATTTAACGCGCTGAGGGGATATAGTTAAATTAAATTTGAGTGCTATGATAGCGATATAATCAAACAAGGTAATAGTCTCGCCACACAAGGTAATTCACCTCAACTGTTATTTCCGAGTTCAATTACCATATACCTAATGACAATTTCAGGTTCACGGCTCCTTTGATCTACCGCACCATCTTTGAAGAGATTAATTTGGCGGTCAGCGATCACGATTAGACAGCAGACCCTACAGACAGGACGGGGGCTGCAGACAGCTGGCTGACAGCAGACCAGAAGACAGACTCGGAAGCCCCCCTTTAGACAGCACCGATCAGCGCAGACTACATTGCGACTACAGAACAACCCATTGCAGACGGCAGACAGACGGGGTGGACTAAGCAGACCATACTACTGACCAACATAAGACAGTTGAACAGCAGAGACAGGAAGACAGACGTACACGAGAGGTTAAATAAGACGGACAGAAGCTAATGACGCAACACCGACGGAATTTAGAAAAAGATTGTTGATATATATCGCAAAACAGTCCGGATGTTCTGTCCTGTTGTGTCATTCAAGTTGTTCATTCTGTTCTACTAAAGATAACATTATATGTTCATCTTCTGCTATCACGATAACTGATTTCGACAGAAAAGTAGTGTTCATTATTTTCACAGAACTTTATTCATCATTTCTTCTCTTTGTGGAGATTTTCAATCGAGGAAAATAGGTGAGGACTCAGGCGATGAGTCACAATAACGTGGCTGAAGTTATGTTGACCAGACCACACACTAGAAGGTGAAGGGACGACAACGTTTCGGTCCGTCCTGGACCATTCTCAAGTCGATTGTAACTGCGTAACTGCTTCGTGAATCTGGCCCCAGGCCAGTAACACATTTCCGTTTGCATAGCTGAAAATATACAGGTGTTTGGCCGACGTATATGTGTGTGTTTGACATGTAAACATTTGCCGGTTTGGCACCTTATTTTGACAATTACTTGAAATATTGTGGTTATGTATTCCAAGCTTGTGTTACAGGATTCTAGCTCTTTTTTAACTGCTCTCTCTCTCTCTCTCTCTCTCTCTCTCTCTCTCTCTCTCTCTCTCTCTCTCTCTCTCTCTCTCTCTCTCTCTCT